TAGTGCAATGGGTTAAAATCTTGTGCCTGCAGGATTGCTGATCGAAAGGTCAGAGGTTCGAGTCCAAGGAGTTGGGCGAGTGCCCATCAGTCAGCTCCAGCTTCTCATTCAGGGACATGAGAGAAGGAACATGTAGGGACATGAGAGAAGCAATGTTCTTGCAGACAATCAATTCTCTCACACCAGAAGCAACTTGCAGTTTCTCAAGTCGCTCCTGACACACACACACACACACACACACTGTTCAGTTCAGAGGAGGCAACAATACTTTGTGTGATTTCAGAATAAGTAATGCCTTGTCTATTGGGCTGTCCTGTCTATTGGGAGGAACATATGAAATGAAGCCAATGGTTGAGGATGTATTTTTCCCCATTTCAACTGCTCAGGCCAGTCTGATACCTAAACAGCGAGAGGATATGAGGGCCTTACATGGAAACCCTTGGTTCAGGATTTTGTCACTGGTTACCTTAGAGTTGCCCTGGAGCCCTAAGGGAAATTCCTAAATTGGCATCCTCTCCAGAAATTTGCCAGGTCTTCCAGGGTGACTCTATGATAATTCTACGGTATGCTTCTGTTGGAAGTTATCTGGTGAAGGTAGACAATTCCTATGGAGGGCATATTTTGTTAGATACTGATAGGTTAAGTTGCAGGTACTGAACCCTCATATATGGGAGTCATACACATTCATGGGAATAATTATGACCCACTCATTGGGAGTTATTTCATTATCAGTTTAAAATCAATCACATTGCCAAACAAACAAACAAAAAACATCATGGGGCTTATATGTTGTATTTGACAATACCAATACTTTTTGCAGAATTTTATTTTTTTATACGTATTATCAAAGTTGTTCATGAGGGACAAGTATTTCTATATCATGAATCATGACCGAAAACATTACCAATAATAAATTTTAGAATATCAGGTCATGTCAACAACTTTCTACATAGCAACAGAGATTCTGATTTTGATGAAGAACTTTGCTCAGAGCACACACAGCCTATACTCTACTTGTGGCTTGTGTTGTTGTGCTGATGCTCTTCCTGGGCTAAAGAAATGGGTTGTTCCCTTTGTTTTTAACACCTGAGGAGTTAGCCACTGATTCATTATGTGATAGAAGTCTATGCAAGTTAACAAATCCAGTTTCTATTTCAGCACAGTCTATTCAGTGATATTTTATGTGCCACTGAAAGGTTTGTGTGGAAAGTTCACAAATGAAACCTCCTGTCTGAAGTTAAACAAGAAGACAATTCAATTCAATATCTAAGGATTTGTTGTCCCCCCCCCATCCCCCAAGTATATCCCTCCCTCCAAGAAGACCAATAACAAAAAATATTGTTCTTTAGCACACACAAAAATGGTGGGAAGAACATATACTATCCGGGATCATGCTTTCTCTCAATATCAATTATTTCCCTGTTTTTAGAAAAATATTTATTTTCCAAAACTTCAATTAGATGTTATAGTGTTTTTTTGTATATGACAAGTGCTTGACTTCTTGCCAGAGAGTGGGATTGATTGAGACACTCCTGCATCAAGATCAGCATGCATTAAAGCAAACACTGAAACATATTGTCAGCATACAGCCTTTTTATTTTATACAATAGATAACAATCCCATGAGGAAATGTCATTACTTCATTAAAATATGTGACACAAGCCTTATTTTCTCTAGTGTAGTTTTCTCTGCAGGTCTACTTCCTACTAGGAATATCAATATGCATCTTCTTTTTCCCCAGAGGTAACATATCACTTGAAGAAAACATAGCTATAACTCGAACATTCTAATGCAATGTATAACTTTAATACTCCAGAACAATGTTAGTATTTTGTTCCTATTTTCTGTTCAGTGATGTGAACTAGCATCATAGTATAGGTCTTAGATTAGGGATGAGTAAGAAAATATCTTACTATCCTTGTGTTTGCCCAGGATCTATAGTTTATCTTTAGCTAGTTTTACTCACAGTATGGATAGAATTCCCTCAGGATGTACTTGAGTCCTACCTTGGTGTAGAATATGAGGGCAGCAGCATCTGCGTACAATAGTAGGGGTATGTTGGTAGATGAAATTTTGGGGAGATGTCTGTTTGGTAGTGAAACAGACATCTCCAGGTCATTCAAGAGTTCAAGATCTAGTCCCTAAGATAGATAAGTCTGTCACTAGAGTCTAGACCAGGCATGGACAAACTTCAGCCCTCCAGGTGTTTTGGACAGTAATTCCCACAATTCCTAACAGCTTAGCAACTGTTAGGAACTGTTGGTGTTGAAGTCCAAAACACCTGGAGGGCTAAAGTTTGCTCATGCCTGGTCTAGATAAAGACCAGATTTAAAATGGTTCTTTGCTCATGTGCAGGAAGCATCTTGGTTCATTGCCCCCAAACCAAAACTATAGGATCTTTCAGCGCAGAGTGCAAATAAGACTGAAACCCTTTCTGCACTGCCATATAATTCAGATTATGAAAGCAGATAATCCACATTATCTACTTTGAATTGGATTATACGAGTCTACACTGCCACATAATTCAGTTCAAAGCAGATAATCTGGATTTTATATGGCAGTGTAGAGGGGGCCTAAAAGTCAGCTTAGAATGTTCATAATAATCAACTGTCTTTTATCTTAATCATACAAATGACATTAACAGGAGTATAGTCCTTCATAATTTTCCAGCATTTCCACATTTAAACACAACTTTACAGATGGTTTCAACATAACAGACAGACCACTTCCTAAATTTTACTAAATTTACCTTTAACTCACATTTCAACAAACAATTTAGCAGTGTCACAAAGCTGGGCTCAAGCATACTTATGAAAGCGAAGGCTCAAAGAGGATGATCCTTTGGGAACCCTAGACCACTCTTAGGTTTTCCATTCACCCTGTTCAAATTTAGCCCTATTTATAACAAGGGTTTTGAATAACTTTTTTAAAAGTAATTAGTTACACTTATAGTGCCAAGATCAACAACCTTTTAGTTTCTTGTTTCTCCAAAGTAATTAAAGTCACTTAAAAATTTCAATGCTACATGCTACTGCTTTGGGATAGAAATCATTTTCTTCCTGCCTTCCTCATTATTGCTTCTCATTGCTGCCCAATAAAATTGATGTATAAAAGAAACATGAGGGATTTAAAGCTGATCCTGATTAACCTTTTTTTTAAAAAAAAATGAAGAATGCACAGTCACCCACTTTTATGGTTTTGAGTTTTGCAGATTTGATTACTCACAGACTTGATTAAAAATATTGTCTCTGGGAACCTCTGGGTCCTCCAGTTTGACTTTATGGTCAACTTCCTCCAGTTATGCTGGAGGACCTACAGATTCCTAGAGAGAACACCTTTTTGGGTCCTCCAATGCAATCTTTGTTAAGCTTCCAGTGGACATTGGTCACAGTGTTGTGCTGGAAGATCTAAAACTTCCTGGAGAAATGTTCTCTCAGGTGAAAAAGTAACTACTGCTTTATTTATGTTTATTTCACTTTGTGGTCTTATGCTCCAAGTTCCAGCAAATGTGAAGAGGGCTGATTGCATAGCCCAATACCTATCATTCCAGTACTATTTTCTAGAATTGTGTGTGCACCTGTTTTCCTTCGTTACATTTGTTCTTTCATTACTTATGTTGCCTTCAAGAGCACGTAACAGGATCCCCCCCCCCCCCCCAAATACGAAAATCAGCTCAACATTAAAACAAGTGGAAGTTGATCTCGGCTCCTCGCCTGCTTTTTGTGAGCAAGCTACTTGCCTTGGAAAGAGTGTGTGTGTGGCATGCAGGCCCAGAAAGCAGCACGCATGCCTGCAGCTGAGCGCCTCCTCTGAAGTAAAATTGCTTCCTTGTCTTGGAACGCATGTGTGGCATGCAGGCCCAGAAAGCGCATGTGCCTGCCTGCACCCAAGTGCCTTCTCTAGAGTAAGAAACAGATAAGAAGCCTCTTCAAAGCACACACCTGCCTGCAGCTGAGCGCCTCTCCTTTACAGTAGAACGTAAATGCCTAAAATGATGTGAAGGGGAGCCTGGGAAGCTCCCCCCCCCCCCCATCCAATGGCCTTTAGAAAACGGATCTTTCAGCACCCCAGAGCGAAAACAGTTATCTACCCTCCCAATTTCAGGAGGCTCCCAAAATCAGGGCCCCCACCAAAAGCTGGCACACAAAATGGGTCAATGTGTACCCAGAATGCACAAGCCTACTATTTTGAGCCCATTAAAAATATTTTGAGCCCTTTTCGTCATAATTTAAAAGCCAATTTAAAAAAAAACCTAATACAGCATCATGAAACAATGCCAATATAAACAGTTAGAATGAATTCATGCTATAGTGATGTGAACAGAACATAGCTGGATATACACAGAACTAAAGTACAATATATATGATTTTGTGGGAAATCAACTGGAGTTTCACTTGTACTTTATGGTAGAAATGTAATACTTGGAGACCCTCTTCTGGAATAAGCCTAAATTTACAAATTATTTTATATTGCCAAAGGTACTAGGCAATCTTGAGGATTATTCTTGATTTACTCACCTCAATTCCCAATCTACGATTGCTATCAGTGGTCAAGGATTTTCTTTATATTTCCCCCCTGCTACTTCAAACCATTTATTCATGAATCAGCAAACGAACCTGAGATATAAAGATTTCTTTCCATTATGAAGAGAGACTATTTGAAGCTGAACTATGTCCTAGCCATTGCTAAGAACCAAGGTGAGTGATTGAAGGCAAACCATCACAACAATCAAAAGTGGGGACACAACTTCTGCATTAGTTTTCTCCTTTAAGCGCTCATTTATATTTAATGGTCACAAACCACTTTGTTTAAATATATATGCAGCACTCCAGATTGCAAGCATGATGACTGTATGCTAGCTAATAAAAGCTGAAATCTTACAAAGAAGACTTTCTGTGCTGTTTTTATTTCAGAACATCTTGCTTCTGACCTTTACTACCATTTAGTTTCTACTGTTCACCTCAAGGATGCTAGTTGCAATGAAATTCTTGTTATCTTACCTTTCTTCTTCCACCAAGGTCCTTCCTGGACGGAGTAGGAGAGGTCTTTGAATTCAATGTTCACAGCTGGTCTCCGTGGAAGGTAGGAGAAGCGATGGGCTTCTGTCAAAGCATTGTCCATCTTTTTAAAATGACCACTGAGTAAATGGACATCCTGTGTGTCTGTGCCAGTGGAGACAACTTCATCCACAGAAACACATACTGACTTTGGCTCAGGCATAGCAGGTGCAGAATTGTTCGCGTTCTAGAACAGAGGTAAAAATCAAGTCAATATTTCCACAAGCTTGTCCCAAAGAAAGCATATCCACTAAATATTTACTCTAGTGCAGTGGTTCTCAACCTGTGGGTTCTCAGATGTTTTGACCTTCGACTCTCAGAAATCCTAACAGCTGGTAAACTGGCTGGGATACCTGGGAGTTGTAGGCCAAAACACCTGGGGACCCACAAGTTGAGAACCACTGCTCTAGTGCATTAACAGCATGACCTACTAGCACTGTTAAAAATAAACAAAAGAGAAAAAAGAATAATCTAAACGAGGTTGCATACCCTTTTTGGTCTTAGGGCTACATAACTACTTGAGAAGAAACCATAACTGTTCATACAAGAAGGTGCATTCCAATTCCAATATTCATTTACATCAATCATTATTGCATTAATCACTTTCCACATAGAAAAGCCACAACCTAAGGGCTCACTCACAGAAAAAAAAATCTGTTTTAGTCCTGACAAGTGTAAATACTCCATTGGAATAATCTACACACTGACTCACCATTCAGGAACTCAATAGTGACCATGCAAGGCCAAACTCTAACTGAGACTGACTAGGGGTATGCAGGCCAATGTGGTTTCCTTTTATTCCTGTCCTCTACCTTCTGTGGTGAAACAATATGCTAGTCCACATAAATCATAATCCAGCTGTTTCAGAAGGATGAGCCACTTCTAGAGGGCAGATGAAGACATTTTTATGTGATAGTTGTATGTCTAGATAAAGACAAATGGACACATGCAATTTAATTATTAATTCCCACGATTCCCATCTCTGTTTCCTTGGCTTCTGCAAGTTATTGCAAACCACAAATAAAAATAATCTCTAGATAGCATATATTGATTTGAAAACAGGTAAATTCTGTTTTCAAAAAGGTTTTCTAGTGAGGCCTAACCATCACTTTTGTCCACCTGGCCTCCTCCTTATAAAAAACCTTTTCTTACTGAAGAGGAAACTGATTTTCAGAAAAGAAAGGAATGACAGAGCCAGAGAAGCAGAGAACCAGTGTTCACCTAGCAGTGCACAATGTCCTGGCACTCTCTTCCTGCTAAACAGGAAGCAACTAGCAGTCTTAGGAGTATTGGGTCTCCATCCATTTTGGTCAGGCTGTGGCACATGGGCACCAAGACCTATGCCCTCAAAGCCCTGCCTTAACAGTTCCGTATAGACATGTCATCAAGTAAAATGCAGTTTGGTCATTGAGTTCTATCACAGTGGTTCTCAACCTGTGGGTCCTCATATGTTTTGACCTTCAACTTCCAGAAATCCCAACAGCCGGCAAACTGGAGGGGGTTTCTAGGAGTTGCAGGCCAAAACACCTGGGGACCCCCAGGTTGAGAACAACTATTCTATCAGGTCCTCTCAGTGAGTTTTGTTCAATAAAGCACAGGCAGAATTGTGTTTGTCTTTCATATGGCAGCAAATCCAACATAAAGAATACTTCCCGTAAAAGTAAGCATCACCTCTAAAAACACAGGGGATTGCTCAGGATAAAAAGAGAAAATTTCCAACTATGTTCATATTGCCCATAACTGGGAGAATGACAGTCCACACCTTGGGGAATGACAGTCTCAGCCTCAAGAGAACTACCAACATTATGCAGAACCTTATGGTGAAAGGTGTATCTGAGAAATCAAGATGAATTTAACATAATCTGCTAGCTGCTTTGTGTGGTTTGGCCTACAACTCCCAGAAATCCCAGCCAGTTTACCAGCTTCTAGGATTTTTGAGAATTGAAGGGTAAAACATCTGGGGACCCATAAGTTGAGAACCACTGTGCTAGCATCTCTTTGTGCCTGGGGCCTTTAAATATTAGGGACCCTAGATAATACAGTGCAATGACAGCTGATCCTAAAGACTTGAAGCACACCAGAGAGATCACTTGAAGACTGCTGCCTTGAGTTCAATGAACCCTAGACAGGAGACTGTCCAAGAGAAATTTATTTACTGTTCTGATTTTAGAGGGTTTTTTTTAAAAAAAAATACTGGTACCCAGATTTTGTTCATTTTCATGGTTTCCTACTTTCTGTTGAAATTGTCTACATGCATGTGGATTTCAGTGGCTTCTCTGTGTAGTCTAACATGGTGGTTGATAGAGTGGTCCAGCATTTTGGTGTTCTCAGATAATATGCTGTGTCCAGGTTGGTTCATCGGGTGCTCTGCCGTGGTTGAGTTAGTCTGCAGTACCTTTCATGTTCCTTGATTCGTGTTAGGGCACTGCATTTGGTGACCCCTATGTAGACTTGTCCACAGCAGGAATCAGCCAGGCTTTGAAGCTACAAGGCCATTCAGTGCTAACCAAAGTGGCCAATTACAACATTCATGCTTGCCTCAAGCAGACAGCAGTTCTTTCTCCCACCCTGGACATTCCACAGATATATAAACCTCAGTTGCCCAGTTTCCAACAGACCTCACAATTTCTGAGGATGCCCGCCATAGATGCGAGTGAAACATCAGGAGAGAATGCTTCTGGAACATGGCCATACAGCCCAGAAAACTCACAGCAACCCAGTGATTCCAGCCATGAAAGCCTTTGACAACACATTTTGCATTCTTCTACTTTTTCCTCTTTTGGTATCAGTCAAATTTAGCAAACTTGATAAACTCGACAAGGCACTATTCCTTTCTAATGACACCTCTAAATGACATTTCTTCCCAAAATTCAAGTGCCACACTATTTGATTATTCAACATTACATAGCTTCTACATACTTTATTTTTAAACACACAGAATCCTCTCTTCTCTTGTTTCTGGGTCAATCATCATTACAGCAATTCTAAAAATGTAACACTGCCAGAGCACAAATCATACACCTTTGATGTCTATTTTTGTCCGCTTTGTTTATGTTTATCCAAGTATTATGATTTTCTGAAAAAGCCAAGACATATCAACTGTCCTGAAAACTTTTAATTCAAAATACCAAATGTTGAAATGGACACACATGTATTTGTGAACTTGGATGCTCAGGTTATCTTTTCAAGAGGTTCTTTTCTGGTTAGTAAACTGCCCTCAACATCCCAACATAGATCTGTTCAACACGAGGAGATTCATTCTCACAATTCAAAAAGAAGGAGGAGGAGGTCTGGATCATATTTAGTGAAACTGAAAATGCAGAGTCAACCTAAGGATGTATTACTTTGTGAAGTGGGGTCAGAGACAAACAAACGCTCGTTCTGATATACGTTTCTCTGAATCAGTCAAGTCTCTTAAATATTATAATGGCGATTTCCTTCTACACTGGCATATAATGCAGTTTGAATCTGCATCACATGGTTAGTGTAGACCAGGCATGGGCAAACTTGGGTCCTCCAGGTATTTTGGACATCAACTCCCACCATTCCTAACAGCCTCAGGCCCCTTCTTTTTTCCCCCACAACCGCTTCAGGGGGAAAAGGAAAGGGCCTGAGGCTGTTAGAAATAGTGGGAGTTGAAGTCCAAAACTCCTGGAGGACCCAAGTTTGCCCATGCCTTGTGTAGACTCACATAATGTGGTTTAATTGAATTATGTCTGTGAACTATAAAGTTGGTGCATTATATGGCAGTGTAAATGAGGCCTTATTGGGTGCAGAGTGAATTATATGTAGGGTAGGCTCATTGAAAACAGGGAAATTGATTCCAATGGATCAACTAAATGGGCCCCCAGGCTGGATCCAACTCATTCTATTGTACTGTTAATGACAACTCAAATATGTCTGCAGTTGACATTGGCTACCTAAACTGGGGTTTATAACCAATCTCCGCTTCAAAGCTTTCCCACTTCCTTTTGAGATAAGTAGACCCCAGTTACTTGGGATCCCCTGATGGAACAGCAGTTAAACTGCTGAGCTGCTGAACTTGCTGATGGAAAGGTTGGCAAGTTGAATCTGGGAAGCGGGATGAGCTCCCATTGTTAGCCCTAGCACCTGCCAACATAGCAGTTCAAAAACATGCAAGTCTGAGTAGATCAATAGGTACCGCTTCTGCAGGAAGGTAATAGCGCTCCATGCAGTCATGTTGGCTACATGACCTTGGAGGCGTCTACGGGCAATGCCAGCTCTTCGGCATAGAAATGGAGATGAGCACCACTCCCCAGAGTCGGACAGGACTAGACTTAATGTCAGGGGAAAGCTTTACCTTTACTTTTAGACACCAGTTTTAAATGTTGATATAGATTGCATTTCTTCTGCCCAGAGAAGGGCTGAGCAAGGAATGCATTCTTTTCTAAAATAACCGATATGAGAAACCTATACCCTTCATTCAACCCAGAAAAGTTCCTCTTAAAGGAAACCCCCTACTTGGCTACCTTTTGCCATTACGTAAGGAGCTGGAAAGGTTGGCAAGTGCCTGGGTGAATCTATTTTCAAATCATAGGATGCGGCGGCGAGGCTCTGCGCATGCTCAGAACTCGATCTAATTCCCCCCTCCCTTCCCTCCGCTCTATCTTTTTTTCCCTGAGCAGCAAGGCAGAGGTAACTTTCGGTCAAACCCTGCTCTGTGCAGCTGACTCGAAATCCAAGATGATGTAAATGCCAGGAAGATAAAAAAAAAAAAGCAAAACAAAACACCCCAAAATAAACCAGCCGTGTACTGCAAGATGACAACACAACCTGCTTTGCACAACTTTGTGGGTTCACAAAGCCCAAGGAGGAAGAAGAGCAGAATCCATCCCTGGGGTGAAAAGAATGGATTCAGATCCCTCATTTGGTACATATATCAATAAATATATCTACATTGGATTTGCATCAACTATTTTTTTAAATGATAGAAATCGGAAAGAGCACAGAATGAAAAACAAAAGCCAAAACAAAACAATCCTGAGAGATATTCCAGAAGCACTCTCTCCTGACATTTATCCTGCATCTCTGGCAGGCATCCTCAGAGATTGTGAGGGTGTACCCCCCATTTTCCTAGTTTCCAACAGACCTCACAATTTCTGAGGATGCCTGCCATAGATGTGGGCAAAACGTCAGGAGAGAATGCTTCTGGAACATGGCCATGCAGCCCAAAAAAACTTACAGTAACCTAGTGATTCCGGCCATGAAATCCTTCTGATAATACAATCCTGAGAGATGTTTCCTTACCAAAGCTGATAGATGCACCAGGTCAAAGGTGAATGAATGAATGAATGCAAAAGAGGAAGAGATGCTCCTAATTTCTTTCCTTGGATAGACAAGGATGCAAACACCCCGCTGCTCAAAGTGAGAGTTGATCCATCACAGCAAAGCTGAGATTAAAGAGAAGTGGGGTTTTCCCCTTCCCTGAGAGCTCTTTCTTCCTTTCCCAGGGTCACTTTGGGGGGGAAAGGGGGGGTCTGCAAGCCCCTCCTCTCCCCTCTGGCTTGGGTGAACTAACAGGTCCCTTTCCCTTCCCTTCCCTCTGCATCCCCTGACTGAGAATTATCTCTCTGGCTTTTCACCAGGAAGCTTAGGAAGGGTGATCAAGCCAACCAGCTGGGCTCCTCAGTCTCCAGACCTCTCTCTCTCTCTCTCTCTCTCTGCCCCCGTTTTGTTTGTTTTCAACACAAAAGGCTTGTCTCTGTGACAGGTTTGGAAAGAGAGAGACACTGAGAGAGAGAGAGAGAGAGAGAGAGAGAGACCTGGAGGGTACAGAGATAGGCTAAGAAACCAAACAGGCTGGGAGAGATTGAGGGGTGGGATGTCTTTGTGTCTGTAGGTGCCTCAGAAGAAAGAGGCACAGACACACCTTGGCTTGGTCAAGTCCCCTTCCCAAGGCAGGCAACTTCCCATCCCCGACACTCCTAATTGAAGGAGGAATCTTCCACCCTGGGCATCATTCCACATTCATATAAACCCCACTTGCATCTATGGCTGTGTGGCCATGTTCTGGAAGCATTCTCTCCTGACGTTTCGCCTGCATCTATGGCAGGCATCCTGAGGTTGTGAGGTCTGTTGGAAACTAGGAAAATGGGGTTTATATATCTGTGGACTGTCCAGAACAAGAGTTTTTTTCTCCCACCCTGGACATTCCCATTCCGCAGACATATAAACCCCCTTTTCCTAGTTTCCCACAAACCTCACAACCTCTGAGGATGTCTGCCATAGATGTAGGCAAAACGTCAGGTGTGAATGCTTCTGGAACATGGAAAACTCACAGCAACCCACTCCCAAAAGAATCCAGCTCACACTTGGGGTCAAGGAGAAAATACAGGCAAAGAGATGAGGATGATCCAACACAGTGTAAGAAAAAGGATGGGGATGATCCAACTGCTGCCTGGAAAGCAATGAATGAAGCCTTAGGAAGGGAGGGAAAGAGAGGAGGGGGGGCACCCACTTACCAAAGCAGCGCCCACGGAGAAAGCTGCCATCAGGCATGCCATGTGCCCTCCCCGAGGCTGCAATCCGGGACGGAGGAAAGGTCGGGAGAAGCAGCAGAATCGCGATGGTGGAGCTCAACACAAAGAAGGTGGTGCAGGAGGAGCAGGCGGCGGGACAGGAGACGGACCCGAGCAAAAGCGCCTCAGGAGAGAGAGCGAGAGACAGGGAAGGGGGCGGGGCTACGCCAGGTACTCAGGACCAATTCCTCTGCCTCCCATTGGCTCTTCCGCGACGCCCCCTCGTTCAGGATTGGCTGGGGAGGCACGGGGGGCGGAGCTTGCTCTTTGCAGGTAAACGTGCTCTTGTTTTCCTCCGCCGCCTCCTCGCCCGGCGCTTCTCGGGCTCACCGGTTTCTTGGTCGCTGAGCTGGGCGCAGACTCAGCTCCAACACCAAGAGCGTGACTACCCCGTAGAAGTAATGCACTTTGATACTACTGCCAAGGCGCAACGCTATTGGATTCACTGGAGTTACAGTTTTGCAAGGTTTTGAGACATCTCTGCCCAAGATGGGCCTTTCCAGACAGGTCCTATATCCCAGGATCGAATCCCAGGTTTTCTGCTTTAAACTGGATTATATTAGTCCACATTGCCAGATAATCTGGGATAAACAGAAAACCTGATCCTGGGATATGTTTATAAAGCTCTTGTTCTCCCAACCCTGATATATGTCTGCGAGACGTGGACTGTCTACAGACATCACATGCAGAGGCAGCTCTAGGTAATTTTCAATGGTAAGCAAACAGTATTTTGCCCCCCCCCCCCAACCCAATCATTGATATATATTTTCTGTTTGTCGTGGGAGTTCTGTGTGCCATATTTGGTTCAATTCCATCATTGGTGGAGTTCAGAATGCTCTTTGATTGTAGGTGAACTATACATCCCTGTAACTACACTTGCCGCACTTGCTCCCTTGCCTGGCCCACTTTGGGTCCGGAGGCGTGCCTGAAGACCCCGGCGTGTGCACCAAAAGTCATCTCTTCTCCTGACTTTCTCCTCAGCCATTGGGACCAAGAGAGAGAGACGGAGGTGGAGATGCCCACCTTTCCTGAAGGTAGGCGCAAAAACAAAGGAGGGAGCGGAGGTGGGAGATACCTCCAGCCGGAGGGGGGCTCTCTCTCTCTCTCTTGGTCCCAATGGCTGAAGAGAAAGTCAGGAGGAGAGGCGACTTTTGGAGCACACGCTGGGGTCTTCAGATACGCCTCCGGACCCGAAGCGGGCCAGGCGCGGCGGCTCCGCCCCTTGGCCCACCCGCGGATTGGGGAGAGGAGAGGAGGCAGGTGGAGCGCTGGGGGATCGGGAAAGGGAGCCGGTCATGGGGAAGGGATCGAACGCAGAGAACGATTGAGTGCCAGCTCTGCTCGCGCACCCGGTGGCCAGGTGGAGCAGAAACGAGATGGGCTAGGTGAGGCTCAAGGGCTTGGCCCCTTTGGGAAGAGGATCGCCCAGCAGCGAGGCAAGAAAGCTGAGGCTCCCCCCGGACTGCTAGGGCTATTGTGAGCTGAGGGGGCGCTCCTCAAGTGGCAGTCGAGGGGCATTTACAGAGGCGCCTCTGCGCCCCTGGCATAAAAAAGTGTTCTGCGACCGCTTACTTAGCGTAATGGACGAGCCGCCCCTGATCACATGCAACTCCTGGAACGATTCCATCAGTGCTGCCTCTGGAAAATCCTGCAAATTTCTTGGGAAGACAGGCGGACAAACGTCAGCATGCTGGAAGAAACAAAGACCACCAGCATTGAAGCGATGGTCCTCCGCCATCAACTCCGCTGAACCCGCCACATTGTCCAGATGCCCAAGCACCGTCTCCCAAAGCAGTTGCTCTACTCCAAACTCAAGAACGGAAAGTGGAATGTTGGTGGACAGGAAAAGAGATTTAAAGATGGGCTCAAAGCCAACCTTAAAAACTCTGGCATAGACACTGAGAAGCCCTGGCCCTTGAGCGCTCCAGCTGGAGGTCAGCTGTGACCAGCAGTGCTGCAGAATTTGAAGAGGCACGAATGGAGGGCGAAAGAGAGAAACGTGTCAAGAGGAAAGTGCGTCAAGCCAACCCCGATCGAGACCACCTTCCACCTGGAAACCAATGCCCTCACTGCAGGAGAAGATGCAGATCAAGAATAGGGCTCCACAGTCACCTACGGACCCACCAGAACACTGATCCTGGAAGAGTATCCTGCTCGGCCAACGAGGGATCGCCTAAGTAAAGTATATCCCAGAATATCAAGGCTGAAAATCCCACAATGTCTGCTTTGAACTGAGTTATCTTGAGTCCACAGTCAGATCATGTGGGATTTTCTGCCTCGATATTCTGGGATATAGGGCTGTGTGGAAGGGCCCCCAGAATGTAGTTTCCAAAATAAATGGAATCTACGTTCAGGATGGAGTTATTGATTGTTGCCATCAAATAGTCTTTGATGTACGAGGGTAGAATGAAAAGTAATGCCCCCTTGGGTTTGGATGGAAATATTTTAATAAATCAAATGCAGAAATAATCCTTAGGATGTGCTCTTTAACTACCACTATTCACTTTTCCACATAATTACCAGACAATTGGATACATTTCTGCCAACAATGAACAAGTTTTCTGAAGCCATCACGGAAGAAGTCGACACTCTGTTTCTGCAACCCATCGTGCACAGATCTTCTGATAGCCAAGCAAAGCAATAATGTGACCCACATGTTCTCGTGAAATGCCAATTATGCTTGAAATTTCTCTCAGAGTGATACGATGATCATCCTGAATCAATCTGTCAACCTTTTGCTTGTGAGACTCGGTGGTTGCTGCCACAGGACATCCAACTCTTTGTTTATCATGCAAGTTAAATGTTTCCACCTTGACATCTTGAAAGTTACTCGCCCAACGATGCACAGTAGTCACATCAACACAATCACCATAAACAGTTTGCATTCTCTGACAAATCTCCTTTGAGGGGACACCTTCTGCTGTCAAAAATTCAGTGACTGCATGTTGCTTGCTTAAGTTGCATTGACCAACTGTCTGCGCAGGGTTCCATACTTGGCACTTTAACAACACAACCGTTCAATGCTAAGGCTTCCCACCAAAATGGAACTGTAGAGGAGAGTCTGCTGAACAAGCCAGTATCTGCTGCATACCAGTACTGCCATCTGTTGAGAAGTTACAAAGGTGGAGGCATTACATTTCATTCATATGCCAACCCTGGACATATCTACTCTGACCACTTAAAAATTGGCAGAGAAGAAAATGATTTTAAGGTGGAGCTGATTACTCAGGAAGTCCTGGAACATGATCAGGCCTGGGTAGTGCCCACACGCTCCACAGATATTGCCTTCAATGCAGCTCCAGGATCCATAGGATCTGCAGCTTCACTGCCTGGAGGATTTATGTTTTTCTTACTCCTTTTCCTCCCCCCACCCCCCACCAGCACAGTGTTCATGGGTGGACTTTAAGGGCATCCATTCCTTAATTATTATTTTTTTCATGTCAGGAGTGATTTGAGAAATTGCAAGTCGCTTCTGGTGTGAGAGAATTGGCCATTTGCAAGGATGTTGCCCAGGGGATGCCCGGATGTTTTACCATCCTGTGGGAGGCTTCTGTCTCCAGATGGGGAGCTGGAGATGACTGACAGGAGCTCACCCCACTCCCCAGATTCAAACCACCAACCTTTCTGTCAACAGCTCTGCCAGCACAGGGTTTAACCCATTATACCACTGGGGGCTCCTTAATTCATTTCACCATACACCGTTGTTTACATTAAAGTCTGCTGATGCACATTAAAGACTCTGCTTTGGAGTATCTCCCAACTTTGCTTATAAGCCCTTAATATGTGTTGCTGCACACATTTGCAGTACGTGCCATTTGGAACATTATCCCACATGGGGGGGGGGGTCATATTATTGTGGCGCTATGTCCCATGGCATTAGAAAGCAAATCATATCATTCACATGTTCTTTCTTATCAAAATCATTCATTTCAGATACATTTCAGATACCTTGGAGTCAGCATAAGAAAATAATGACTTGAAAGCACACAGCAACAGCAAATACAGAATTCTTATCCAGAGAACTAAGTACCTAACTAAACTACAAACTCC